GACGTTATTAAGGAGTTTTTCATGATTTCATTAGGTGTCATAATGGCATCATGGTTAAAAACTAAAATGATATGTTTGACCTGAAAACAGCCTTTTTGTCCTAGGGGGTGTGGTAAGGTAGAGTCAACAGCCTGGTGGACTGAACCCTCCCCTTCCAGAAGGAACGAGTCGTTCTCTCTTCTCTGATCCTCTATACGGCACCTTATATTCATGGGCTTATGTGTTTCCCTTCCTCTATAGGGAGCTCCTTGTTATAATCTTCCATGCCCAGGATATACTAGATGGCTACAAATACTAATAAAATAAATCTTAGAATGCAGAATGTTCTTAAAACCCCGTAAGAATTTATTTTATATTGTGGTTGTTATATTTGAAAATTTCTTTTAATCTAAGAGCCGGGGCATTTCTGAACTATAAGTAAACAAGTCAAGATTATATAAGCAACATGTCAGCATTGGTTCAATATAGCATTCGGTAACAGGTGAGTAAACATGTCCTCCTCATCTGGTTGGACTGGCAAATATTTAATTAGAGTTATTAAGTGCCTGCCTCAAACAGGGGCATTAGTTAAGGTACTGCTAGCTGCTATAACAGACAAATCCCCAAATCGCAGTGGCTTAACATATAGATATTTGTTTCTCACTTAACGTAAAGTCCAAGAGGGATTCCCCCATCAATAAAGGGGAAGAGGTGGAGTGGGAGGCGGGTGGGAGACTCTGCTCCAAGCAGCCATTCATGTGCTCACTGACGGTGGCTTTCAAGGTCACCCTTGCTGGTATCGACATCTAGCCAGCAAATCGGGATAAGTGGAGAGGAAATAGCAAACCTGCTTCCTAACACTGCAGGCTGGAAGCTCTCTACATTCCACGGGTGAGAAAAAGCCACTTGGCTTCACTGAAATGCAAAGATGCTGGAATGTGGTCTCCAGTGAGACAATCACTTCCTGACAATAATTCTACAAGGGGAAAAACAATCTTTTGGCGCCAGCTAACCATCTCCTTCACAGGTCATTCTCTTAAATGTTCTGATATTTATATTTAAAAGTGGTATTACAATGCCTAACTATGTTTATCTTTATTTCATCCTTCCTGAGATAATTAACAAGTAAGAAGGGTTTAGTGAAAATATTTTGGACGGGTAGCTATAAGGAAATTATCTGCAAGGCTTTATGTAGTAAATATGTCTCTACTCCCAGTTCAAAATGATTACCCGAGTAATTCACAATGGGTCTTCATTTCGTACAAGGTAATTATAGAGAAATTACACAAAAACTTCACAGACTTAAGGAAGAAGATAGAAATAATTCTGAAATAGCTAACTCGTTTAAGAAAACCTCATCTAGAGATGAAGCAGTTCAGAGGAGAGTTGAGTTCCTTGTTTCATCCAGGAGTTTCATCCAGTGTAAATTTATCTACTATCTTAAACCTAGTTTCAAAGCAATACATCACTGGAATGGTTTTCTGTCTCCAACCTGTTTTTCCAACCTGGAAAAACAACACTCTCCTTTGTAGATGTACCTATGTCACCGATGTTTCCAATTCTGTTTCTAATCTGTTCTTCAGCCCAAATACCTTTTGTTGGGCTATAAAACCGTGTATGCAACTGCTTATTAGACATCTCCACAGAGGCATCCTACAGGCACCTCAAGTTCAACACAGACAACCAAACACTTTACTGTAATAATTCTGCTTTTCTATAAGTAGTTGTATCTTGATTGCACAAAAACTGGCTTGGTGTTCTCCCACTTCCTTGCTCCTCCCCCATTGGTTCTCGTCCAGGGGTAGTTTTGCCCCCAGGGTACATTTGGCAATATCTGGAGACATTTGCAGTTGTCTCAACTAGGGGAAGGGATGCTACAGGCATCTCAAGGGCAGAGGGATGCAGCTAAATACCCTATAATGCGCAGGACAGTCCCCTGCTCCCAACAAAGAATTATGCGGCCCCAAATATCAGTAGTGCCAAAATTGAGATACCCTGCCTTACTCTATATCCTGCAGGTTTTACCTCCTGGGTATCTTTCAAATATGTCCTATTTCGGCACTCCTATCCCCTCCCTAAGCCTTGTTTCAAGTCTTCATCACCTCCTTCATGGAACATCACAACAGGCTCTGCTATGGTCTGAATGTTTGTGTCCCAAAGTCTTGTTGAAAACCTAATTGCCTGTGTGATAGTATTAGGTGAGGCCTTTCGGGAGGTGATTAGGTCATGAGGGCAGAGCCCCCTCGAATGGGATTAGTGCCCTTAACAAAAGAAAGCCCAGAGGGCTGCCTTTCCCTTCCCCCATGTGAGGACACTGCAAAAAGTGGGCGCTCACCACGAGCACCTTGGTCTTGGACTTCCCAGCCTCCACAACTGCGAGAAATAAAATTCCGCTGTGTGTAAGGCACCCAGTTTACGGTATTTTGTTACAGCAGCCCAAACGGACTAAGACAGGCCCCCAGCCCATTTTCTTGCCCCTCAATCCTGATGCTCCCTAGGAAGGACAGGTCACCCACCCCACCTTGCAAGCTCTCTCTCATCATCAAGGTTCAGTGAAGTCCTTAAGTGTCAATTCCTACATGAAGCCTTCCCTGCCTGACTTGTTGTCTCTCATTCCCTTTCTAGTCTCAGAAGCCCCAGCTGACTGTACCCACACCATCATTTGTCTCCCCAACTAGATCACAAGCGACTTGTAAGAAACCTTCACATCAGCCTCTGTGACCAACAGCCCTAAACGTGCAGTTGAGCTGTGTATGAACTAACACTGGCTGGCTCTTCTGATCAGAACGGGAACGTGCGAGGACACTAGGTTGGGTTGGGTAGGAGGCAGCGCTGGAATCTGCTGAGTGGGCCTGAGTGGCTAGTTACAGAGTTTCGCTGTAGGCCTCATTGCTGCTAAAGAGCCCTGGGAGCTAATCCCCCCTGATGGTGTGTTTGGCAGGTTCCACTACAAGAGGTACTCCAGTGTTTTATGGACTTAACTTCTCCAGGCTACAAGAGCCCTTAATATAGAGAGAGAACCTGAGAAGGGCCATAGTGCTCCAGAGGACAAGTCAAGGTCCAACAGAAATTCCAGAAAAATGTGTTGACTGTGGCATTATTTTGATGCACATTTGGGACTAGTAAAAGTGCTTGTTTAACATAAAAATCAAATATTTTACCTTGTTTTTGCTTGTAACATTGTCAAGGCCACCTGTGAATCTAGCATTCTTCCCCTTCCGGTCCTGCTACGTGTTGCTCATCTAACTTAAATATAATGCTCAGAAAGAATGCACCCAATAGGATGGAAGATGTACCCAAAACAACCAAGCTCAGACAGGAGCTCTCTTCTCCCCCCGCCCAGTGCTGCTTCTGTGGCATCACCGGTGAGGAGAAGCAACACCAGGACAAGCTTCTCTTACAGGCACCATCTGACATTTTCATGATTAACAAATTAATCACTGGAGAGGTCTTCTCTCTCTAGTATGTGTATGTACACACCCTCAAGGACGTATGTGGCAGCGCTACAACAGCAACAAGTTGTTTACAACCTCCACATCTGTAATTAGATTAAGAAATTATGGGATATCCACAACTGGCATACAAAATATACATTAATATGCAGCCATCAACAATTACATTATGTAAATGAAGATTCCACACTGGAAGATATTCATGATAAGTTACTTAGTTAAAAAAAGGCTATGGAAACCATAAGTATGGTATCCTGTTGTTAAAACATACTTGAGTGCATGCGTATACGTGTGTATTTATATACACAGAAGGTCTGACAGGATATGAAAATTCTCTGGGTGATGGAATCGTGATTTATTTTTCTGCTTATGCTTTCTACTTTTTTCCACGGTATTTTCTAAGAAACGTTAGTTTCTTTCTCCTGCTAATGAAAGTAATACATTTTCCAGGTTTTTGACAATGTGTATGTAACATGTCATAGTTATCTGCATAAGAAACACTCCCAGATACCTGCCTAGCTCAGTCCTTCTCCTCCTTCTTATCTTAACTCAAATGATGCCCTCTTAGGGCAAACTCCCCAACCACTCCACTGAAAACTGCCCCCACCCCACATCCCTGCTTTATTTCCCCCCATTCACTGATCTACTGAGGGTATTCCAGTACTAGCTCCCCAGCTCCCCGAGGAGCCCCAGAGCCTACAACAGTGCCTGACACATAGCAGGCACTCAGTATTTATTTGCTGAAATAATGAATGAAACACATTTGTTTTACAAAGAAGTTTTGTCTTTATTAATAAGAAACCAGTGATGTTCAGTTTAAAATAACATTTTTTTAAAAAATGTCATGTCTTTTAATGTAATGTCAGCCCTTTACCGCAGGGACCACTTAGAGATGCTGATGAAAGCTACAAACCCCCTTCTTTCCTGCTCCCCACCCCCTCCCAAATCCCAAACACAGACACACAAAACTGAATACAATTTCAGGAGGTTTTGAGACTTCCCTGAAGTCTGTCCATAACTTCTTAAAGGTTCCACTGACCCCAGGGTGAGAGCACTTGATTTTGAAGTGTCGTCTGGCTTAAAATCATGATTTCTCTCCTATTCTAATGATTCAAAGAATATATGTGACTCAAATATCAGTCTTTCCCCTTCCTAAGCCAATTAAATGTTAAATGGATTTCTTCTACAAAGAACTCACTGCTTAGAGAGGGCTAAGTTCACTATTTGCAGCTGAGAACTTGATAAACATCCAGGCGAAAGCTGAAAAATCTAGTTAACAATCCAGAGATTTCAAAAAGTACAGACGTTACTAGAGTGTAGTCAAAATATCTGGTTAAGTGAATTTATCACTTGTCAGTTGAAATTCTGGGGTCACAACCTGAGACAGAGATAGAAAAACAGGATCTATTCCACGTAGAATATGCTTTTTGAATTTTTATTGTTTAAAGAGCAAAATAAAAGGGAATAATGCACATCCACCAATGTGAAGTTTTCCATTAAAAAGAAGAGAAATCAAATACTTTGTAATAAAGACCATCCAGCTAAAAACAGATCAATAAAACAACAATAGCGATTTGACTTTGTGTTTTATTTCAATGAGCACACTTCATTCATGGTCTGTAGGAAAACTAGGCTAGGTCTCAATGGGTAACAGTCACAGTTATTGAGAAAGTAAATACGCCACCACTTCCGTGCCCTCCTTTATTTCTTTATGTCTTCAGTCTCATCTGGCTCTCTCTCTTGATGCTCTCTTTCCCACCTCATTTCTTTTAACTCTTGTCTGTACTTCCGTTCAATGAACCGCTTCTGATGGGCCATCTGGGGAAAGTTATCTGACACAAGGAAATATATCTTATGCTTAATAAAGGATAGCCACGAGTGCAAACAATGATGCAAACTAAACATGTACACTACAAGCATATATTCATATGGAATGTGCATAGTCGTATTTTGTAAGGCAAGAGAAAGAAAATTGTTTTCTTTCCTTACTCTTCCATCATTGAGAAACATATTGGAAGTATGGATCAGCACCCCTGATTCTAGATTTCAATATCTGGTGTGAACTTGAATCTAAAAGGCACCAAAACATACAGAAATGATAAAATGTAAGATGTGTGGTTTGGGAATGTTTCCAACCAGGTGCTTTATAGACTTGTTCTCCTAGCAACAAGTGATTTTCATGGAGAAATTAGAGGACAATGGAGTCATATATTTTTGGAAAGCTAAAATCAAAAACTCCAAACATAATGGCATTATCACATCATTATTTACCAAGAAGTTTCTGAAAAGTGTAAAAACAGATCGGGTAGACAAAAACAGGCTATAATCTAAGTCATTATGTCTGATAATTAATTCTATTCTTAAAGTTTACTATGGGATGCCCAAACTACATCTGCAAAAGTAACTCGAGTACAGAACTTTTATTTGGTTAAAGGAAACATACCACTCAGTAGTTTTGGTTAATACAAACACATCGAAGCTGTATTTAGTTTGATATTTGACCCCATGCAACAGTGTTGACACAATGAAAGAAATCTTGATTAAGATTTAGAAATTTTCACAATTCAGTCAACATTTGTGGTGTAACTTTGGTGGCATAATGAAGTAAGAAATCAAATATGATATGAGAAAAAGCCATTTTATATACTTAACACATATTTAAACAAACAACATTAAGGAGTGCATGCATGAATAAGAACTACACAAGTTAACTGTTAACAGAGAGGGAAAATGACGCTGTGTTATGAGCCTAACCAGATAAGGGACTGTTCTAGAGAAGAGGTACTACTTCTTCGTGTTTCAAACGTGAAGAATCCGAGATGTGGGAGAGCATGGCCTGTTTGGGGGAAAGCAGGCTTGTTTAAGGCGGAAGCATGAGGAAAGTAGATCTACACATGCAGTAGCCTTCTGTATCAGTGCTTTCGCTTTCTGTGGTTTCCTTCACCCAGGGTCAATCACAGCTTGAAAATAGGTGAGTACAGTACAATAAGATATTTTGAGTGACACAGAGAGAGAGAGGGCACAAGCACAAATGCTAATTATTAGTTGCAATTAATCTCCTACTGTGCCTAATTTAGAAATTCAACTTCATTATAGGTATGGGTATATAGGGGAAAACACAGCACATACAGGGTTTGGTACTAACCACAGTTCCAAGCATCCACTAAGGATCAAGTATCCCCCAAGGACAAGGGGGGAGCTACTGTGCAATATATTCCTAAATTTTTCCCCCACTTTTTTATATAGTTTGTCATCCTCACCCTGGTTTGGAGAAGGGACAAGGACAGGGTGGTAGAAAAAGCATCTGAAAGACTGGTGGTGAATCAGCAAAGACCTGGAATGCCTGGGAGTCAGTGATTTTAAACAAAAGAGGAACAAGACATCTGTATTTTAGAAATAAAACAGTAATAAAATCAATTCCCTAAATGATATTAAATTGATTCCTTATATAGTATATAAATCATAGGTTTCAAATATAATTAATTTTTAAAAAAATAAATAAATCCCAATAAGTTATCTGTAAACTAATTTGTAAAGCAAGTTTCTACAAAATGAACCCTATTTCCTCAATAAATTCTACTGTAAAATTGAATTTCCATTTTTTAAAAAACCCTACAATTCAGTTCTAACCATTGACAAACTTTTAGAATGTTATCTTTATAGCTTTTCTTCTATGAAGTTACACTACATACATACACAATGTAAATGTGCATATATATTACCTAGACATATGAACATTTAAAACCATTCCCCTAACCACTCTTACACTGGTAAAGTACAGTATAGGTATGTATTTATGGGTACACTTTTTTCATTTATTCTAGTATAAGCATTTTCCCATATCATTAGTTTTCAACACTATTTTAATGTCTATAAAATATTACAACATTTGGATATAGCTAGGGTTGGTAAACTACTACCCACAGGCCAAATACAGCTCTCTACCTGTTTTTGTAAATAAAAGTTTTAATAGCACCCAAACACACCCATTAGTCTGCATACTATCTATGCCAGTGGGCTACAATGGCAGAGTTGAATAATTATGACAGAGACTGTATGGCCAGGGAAGCCTAAAATATTTATCATCTGGCCCTTTACAGAAAATGTTTGCCAGTCCCTGGGATATCCTATAATTTGTCAAACATTTCTCTACTGGTAAACAGGCAGTTGTTTTTTGTTTTTTGTTTTGTTTTTTTGCTATTATAAATCAAGTTGTCACAATTATCATACTATATGAACTTTAGTTCATAATTCCAATTATTTCCTTAGGTTTGATTCCCAGAAATGAAATTTCTGGATCAAAATGCATTAACTCCTTTAAGGACCTGATACCTAATGCCGAATTGCTTTCCAGAAGTTTAAACAATTCACTTGTCTCAGAACAGGTGATCTCTCCTGTACTGTTTTATAGCTGAAAACACACACACAAAACTTCCAAAGATAACCTTTAACAATTTATAACTAAAAAATGGAATCTCACTTTTATTTCAATATGTGATGTTGCATTTATATACATACAATGGATGAAAAAGTTCCCAACAGTCAACTAAACACTCTCAGTGAAGGTTTCATGGACACTGGACCCTGGCAGCACTAGCTTCTGCCCACACTAACTAACCTGCCTGCCCCCAAACAGGAAGCTATTGTCTGCTGATTTCCACTTGGCTCGGGGCCCTCTTGTCTTTCCTGGAATCTCTCCATGGCTGAGAATCTGGGCCTCTTCACTTTTAGCTTCCCGTACTTTGCTTTCTCCCACCTCATTTAGCTGGGTACTCGAAGCATAATAGAATTGGATTATCATTTTGTGCCCACAGGTTCTACTGTGCAGCACAATAGACCTCAGAAGAGAAATCCCTCACACTTAAGCCTTCAATTTACAAAAGACTATGCAGTTTCCTACAAGTTCAATTATGTAATTAAGTTTCTTCAACCCAGGCATCCCATTCTTGGGAATCTATTCCACAAAACTAAAAGCACCAATATCGAGAGAGATTTATTGTTGACAATGATTAAAAAAAAAAAAAAACCAAAAACCAGAAACAAAGTGTCCATCAATAACAAAAAAAAACTGAATAAAATACAGCACATCCATAGCAGGAAATATTATGCAGCCATTAAGAACGAATGAATTGGAGCCATTTTCTATGATCTGCAGGGCTGCCTATGACCTATTACTGAGTGAAAAAAGAAAGATACACAGAAGTATGTAAATAGCATCCCATTTAACAAACCAATGGTTGAAAACTAAAAAGAAAAAAACCTTCACATGTATATGTCTATGTTATAAGATTTTACAAGTATATGGAAGGAAACACAGTAGGTTGTACACACAGATTACTGGGCTGAGAGTAGGACTCTATGCAAAAAAGGAAAATGAAAATCAAAAAGCACTTGGAAATACTTTTATTTTTAAATTATAAACCCATTTTATCTATATCTCACATTCTACTCTACTCTCTGTGTGGAGAATAATTATGAAGAAAACAAGATTACATTTTATCAGTACTTACCATTTTTTTACTTTCTCATTTTCTTTCCATAAAACACTCATTACATTATGAACATATAATTATAGAAAAAGAGATAGGCTTACATTTTTCAAGTGCATCCATTGCCGCTCCCATTTCTGCTTGCTGAATACTATTAAATAAAATAAAGGTAAAGCACACTTTAATTTGAAGGTTTTTTTTCACCCCCTCAAAAACACAAGGTATGGCTACAAATTATTCAGGCTGAATTTCACGTTTGGGGCTTAGAATGTCATCTGATTACTTCATATACTGAATTACACAGATAGGCATATACACAAGAGCATGCACAAATGTCTTTTGTTTGCACAAAGCCTGTTTAAGTTGTTCATTCCACATTTTTAATACTGCAATAAAATGCTTTCCATTTTTGTCAGGTCTGAAAGTATTTCTTACTTAAGTTTGAATGTCTTCAGTATAAAGTTTAAAGAGGAAAAGAATAAAAAATATATAGACAGGCAGGCTTCAAATCATTTTTCAGTTTAAGATGTAGACTGGAGAGTTCAAAGAAAGGTGATAATATACATAATTCTTTTTACCTAAAGATGCTAGCATTTCCACAAAGCTTAAGTGAATGGCGATAAGAAATCCAATGTCTAATGGCTCTGTCGTATGACAGGACACATCTGACACGTCTAGCTTACACCAATGTGCACTCTGCTGAGTACTAAAACCGGGCAGACCTTACCTGTGCACTAGGTAATGCAGTTTTCTCAAGGTAGCCAAAGCCCCATATGCACAATGGCATTCCAACCGTCCAAGGCCAATTCTCAAATTCGGGGCTTGGCATGGTGGGGACATTAATCCTTGGGGTTCATTTTGCTATTACTCTCAAACACTCTATACTCTAAGTTAAAAAAGACAGACTACAGAGTTTGGAAATACCAACTTGGGACTTCTCAGACACACGGGATGCTCATTTGAACAAACTAATATTCTCCTCATACCTTGGTCCTTTCCCACAGCCTATTCTTTCTCCTTTGAAATAAACAGCCACAGTGTAGGTTCTCGCATGGGATGGCCCCACCGTCTGCAGAGTCCTGAGGGGAAAGGAAAGAACATTAATTATGATAAAGTGTTATTTGTTATGGCTACTATGTAACTATGAGAAAAACCATGTACTTATTGTCTAGAAACAGGAAGGTAAAATAACAAGAAACATGAAAATGGCAGAAAAATACAAGGGGTAAATTTTTTATCTGCTAATCTGACAGAGCTTTTGAAGTAGAAAATTTTTAAAATTCTGCACTGCATTTTTATAGTTTTTCCCTAAAGTCATATAAATAGCATTTAAAGGCTAACAGTGCAGTATAAATATTTTTAAACAATTTCTAAGTGTACATATTCCAAGTATCATAAAATTCACAAACTTTTATTGTGAAAAGTTAACAGCTTCAGTCTGTTTATTGTTTTTCAGTGTTAATCACAGCCCCAAAAAATAAATATTTGGGTAATACACCTCAAGCCACACCTGAATGGTTTTATGGATTCTTTCTAATGTCTGGTACCTTATCTAAAAGATCAGAAAATGTATTTAATTTCTGAAACATCTGAGATAATTTCAAAGGTACGCTGTAATACCAAGTACACAACACAATCGCCAAAAAACAAAGCTCCAGGTACTCTGGATTTTAATGACATGGTGCAGATTTCAAATGCAGTAAAACTGATAACTTCATGGAGAAGGGAAATTAAAAGTAGCCAACAAAGATAATGGAATAAACACAGTAATCTTGAAAAAACTATGTAAAACAACCCTATCATCTTGATAAAAAAGAACAAACTCATCTTGTATTTTCATTTGGGGGATTTATGAGAAGGGAACATAGTAATTTCCTTTGTGTTTATACACTCCACGGGATAAAAGTGCACGGGTGGCTTCTTTAAGGTAGTGCTCATTATAGCAATCATGCCCATGCCATGAAAAGTTTATCATCCTCATTTTATTTATTGAACTTTAATTATCACTTTGATGAGGAAATACTTTGAGCCTTTCATATAATACAGTTTGGATATTCATTATGCTTATTAGGCACATATTAAAGTGATATTTCTAAACATTTGGGGTTTTTTTCCCAATAAATAAAGGAACCATTGTTTAGCAGTGACAGCTTGGCGCAATTTATAGTAGCTTGCTGCGGGGTGACTCAACTTTCCCTTGGCCTTAGTTTTTCTTTTAGCAAAAAAAGCCTATAAAGTGTTGTGACTATGAAATAAAAACATGAAAAAGGATTTAAAATTCCCAACTGCCACTCTGATGTTTTTCCTTGAGTATTCTGAAGTTTAAGAAAGTCTAAAGGGCGACTTTGATTCCACATGTAACAAACACACAAATGCGTGCGCTTGCAACCAGGTATGTGCATACACAGGGGTAAAACAGTATTGAAACCGAATCTACATATCCTTAAAATCGCAATACCTTGAGAGGCAACCAACCTATTTCAGTAGTCCTTTCGTTTTGTAATTCCTCCTTGAAACTACCATCTGAATCAACACGAGTGTCTCAAAATAATTACTCTACTTCAGAGCCAAACCTCCTGTTTTCATCAAAATGGTTGTTACATGGTGTAGTGACCCAATGCATCTACATTCCTTTTGAATGACTTTGGCTACCATTCACAGGATAACGATATTCAAAAGTACACGGCAGCTTTGGTACACACTCTGAGAAGAAAACTTCCAAATATGTGAGCAACAGCAGCAGTGAGCAACTGTGCTGCTTCTTATAGTGACCCCCCTGAGGCGGACAGCACATCTGTCAGGCAACAGAGACAGGCCAACAGGGGTTCGAGGGAAAGTGCAGATAGACATCCAAGTATTACCAGAAATAAGCAGACACCATCTTCCAACCTGGATGCACAGTCCAGCAGAAGGTACAGTAAGAAAACAAATATAAATATGTATATAAAACTATTTAATCCCAATTTCCTTATCTTGATCTCATAATCTTAGTATGTCTTCCCAGCAGGCAGTAGTTCACAGAGAATTTTAGGAACGGGAAAAAGCATAGAGACAATCGAGTGGGACCCACTGATTTATGGCTACAGTCACACTGACAGTCAGGAAGTCTCGATGCTGGCTCTTGTCATGATTACCCCACAATGATTATTTTTCCTCAAGGTACATGGAAAACCAACCCTAAGCACGCTGGACCCAATGGCCTGTGGGCAGCAAGTACTTACTTGTACAGAGGAATGTCTGGCTCTTTTCCTTCTGTCCTAAGTGTCAAGCAACACTGCTGAAGCTGGGATTTGGGGTCATTCCAGTCCTGATTCAAAATGAACTCCTGTGGTAAGTTCCCAAAAAATATTTAGTAATGCGTTCTGTAATTATATATGGCATACACTAATTTAAACTTTATATGAGCTTACTTTTAATCGTGGAAAGAAACAGACATTCATGAAAGTATGAACATATTCCAAATCCTTATCAATGTACAGCGCTGCAATAAATGCTGAAAAAAAGAACATTTTAAAATATACCACAATTCATTGCCATTTAGCAGACAGAATAAGAGACTAGACTTTTAAGTAACATTTTAATAAGGTTTTCAACTTCCAGGCCCTCTTTAATTTTTAGCATTATCATTTTGTCTTTCTTCAAACCAAACAAGACTCTATTCTCTATCATTAATATCAGAAGCAGCAGCATAGATGTGTACAATGCAAATCATAGAGTACAAAGACCAAATTACATTTAGCTAAGGGCTAAATGAATAGCTAGTCAAAAATATATACAAAATGCTGCTGCATAGCAGGGAAAGAATGCTATTTGGGAACACTACCATGTTAACATCAAATAAATCAAAACACAACTTGTAGATCAGATATGATACCACAATAACCACATCCTTGGGTCTTGCCATTCTCAACACTAATCTTGAGGAAATCATCCATTTTATAAGGGTACTATGTTAAATTTCATAAACAGAAACAGCACAATTTACAGATTAAATCTGCCCAAACAGAGAAAAACTTAATACTGGGCTTTATGACAATATAACAATCTATCCAATTTTTCATTAATAAATGGTGGCCCACAAGATGATGCATTAAAAAGTACCTTAACCAAGTAAATAAATGGTGCATTTTTAAAAGAAGGAATTAAAAATAGCTATGACTGAGCTAAAAAAAATGCCAGTGAGACTGCTCTCTCGACTTAATTTTTATTTAATTTTCATCTCTAAATTACTTCTCTTTAGTTGAAAAAGTTCTTTTAAGTTCCTTAGTCAGATTGCCTTTGCACTTTGTAAATGAGCTGGTTTTGCATGGTAGACTTTGATATTTGAATATAATTCCAATTGTCAAAAATACCATAACATTAAAAAAAAGTTCTAAGGCCCAGTGAATGGCCCACTTATTTTGAAGTAATATCACAAACAATACAATTATGTGTATAATCCTTTAGTTAGCTATAATAGGATTATTTACAATGCTACCAGACCATATCAGAAACAGCAGAAGATGACATTTGTCCACAGAGCTTTGTGCTCAAAACAATGGATAATAGTTTTAGTATATAGTGAATAAATTGCCCTTCTTTCTCTGTGGCCCTACATGAAGGCTGCTGGGTGGCAAAATGCTATGATTCACAACTACCGATCCTCATATTCTTTCACACGAAGAGATGTAATGGCCAAGTGTTGGGATGGAGGGGTGGGGAATGGGGTACCAGTGAACATAGATTGAACATAAAATTCATTATTCACATGTAATTCCAAATTATTCTCATTCAGACAAGCTTTGCTGAAACGCAAAAATAATTAAAATAGAAAAGAGGTTTCTTTAGGCAGAAAATAATACTAAATAATAACAAGAAGGAGGATAAATACTGGTTGATTGGATCTAAACTTTGAACCTGTAGATAGAAAGAAAAGCTTTACTTTGTAAGACTCACATTCCAAAAGGTCTGCCAAGGTCTTGGTGCGGAGGGCCACAGGCCTCTTGGTTTTGTCGTTGGTTATTGCATATTCCTGCATGCCCAGCTCCTCTGCCACCTTGGCTTGAGTCCTGTTATTCACCAAAGAGCTTCGTAACAGCTGGCCAAAAGGAATTGGGGTACATTTAGAAACCATCTCACTTTCGGTCTCTCTCTTGCTTCTGTGTTGGACTCAATAAGCCTGAGAGCATCTCAGTGACAGGGACACCAAGGTAAGTGATGGTCTAGGTCCTCAACCATTACCCTCAGACAACAGTGACATACTCCATACACTGCTAGAGCTTCTTAACAACTTACTCTGCTCTGCTATCCTGAATTTTACCCAAATGCCACTTAAACAGCTCATTTACATCAGTAGCAGTAGCAGTGGGGCAGGGTTGGGGAAGATGCTATCATATGATTAAAGGTCATAGCTTCTTCAAGTTTAATGCTACTAAATGAAGAAGCATTAAAAGTTTTAAAAATCAATTTAATTGAAGCACAATTTACATTCAATAAAATGCACCCATTTTAAGTGTATATAGTTAGATGAGTTTTGAAAACCATATACATTTCTATCACTCCAAATTTCCTGAACCCCTCTGCAATCGACCCTCCCCAACCCCCAACCAGGCAAACTTGGCCTGCTTTCTGTACATTAGTTTTAAAGGAGCATGTTTTTAAAGTCTAAAATAAGCTTCATGTTTAATGGCATTGGTGCTAATTTTGGTATTACAGGATTTAGGGAAGTGATGTTTAATAAGTATTATTGAAAAGGTTTAGATTATTTATTTACATATTTATTTTAATTATTATTTTAAAGATTTGTGCTATCTACCTTGAGTCTTAGGTTTTCATACTGATATCCTTTATCTTTAATCAAATTAAAATATAATTTCCATATTTCAACTTCAGAAATTCAAAACAAAAATTTCTACTAGGATACAAAGATGGGAACTCACCAAACAAAAATTGAACATAATTAGCCCCGATCTCTAAGAGTTGGGGAAATGATGCACCTAAAACTACAACTTTTCCTACAATAGATATAACAAATTCTTGGTCTATTAAAAAACTTCCTGCTAAGAAACATTCCTGAAAATGGGGGAGAGGAGCAGGAAGCAGCTGTGAGTTGTGCTGGTGCTGTACCCCTGCTGTTCCACATCGCACTTTGTTTATTAGATTCAAGTTTTATGCTCTGTGGCTCTACCATGTCAACAGAGCTTATGAAAATCAAGATTTATTCTCAATGTCTGATATTGAATTCTTGACAATAGATAAATAAGAAACAATATGTTCTTAATTTGTCTGACAATGATTCATGAAGCAGAAATATAACTTGATCTTTGTAAGCCATGCTTGCTGTTGAATTTTAGACTATTACTCTTTGCCTGTCTCTGCTTCCTTCCTCCTCCTGTTTCCCTCTTAACTGCATCTTTTCTTCCATATAATGTTTCACTAAAACCAACATTCACAGAGGAGCTCAAAATTTAAAAAGCCTAGCAGATAACATTAATAGAAGACCCAACTAATAGGGAGCCCACCAGCCTAATATCTTATAATTATGGAATAAGCGAACTAGAAGGGATATATCTTTTTCGGTTTGGATTTCAAATGGGGCAGAGGGCATGGGGCAGGGCAGTTCTCAAAGCAGAGGCTGTGGGTGAATCGCAGGGCTCTTTTGGGAATATGGCCATGCTGAGCAAGTTGGGTCCTCTATAAATATGTGCTTTTGGTGTGGGCAGAAAACTCTTTAGGCTGTGTAGATGGAGCATTCAAGCCTCAAACCAACGAGCCCAATGCACACATGTGCACACACAAATTATGATACATCACTGGCCACCAGCTCCAGCTGCCACCTCCCTTGTCAGGGCTCCTCACTCAGTGTTGTGCAGTAACGTTGTCTGACAGGGAAGGAGGAAAGCAGTACGGATGGAAACAGAAATGCTTCCAGTTTTATTTAAGACAATCCCTGACAGGTCTTAAAACAGCAGGGTGGCCAATAGAAAGTGAAATCTGTAAGTTCTTGCCAAAATCCTAGTGCTTGAACCAAGAGTCAGTGGGGGAGACGGAAGCTATAAATCACCCATATTTTCATAGTCAGTTTAAATTTAGAAGATGAGCTGAAAAGAGATAAGACCTTGCTCTTCACCTAGACAAGAAAGTCTGAATGGCAGTTCTTTAAATGACAACTTTCATGCTTGTCCTTTGCTGAACTCTATTTCATAATGACTCATGTTATTTGCCAAAGAATGAGATCCAGGGGGGATGAGCAAGGAAGGAAACCTTCTGAAGTTACAGCAGTGCAGCACACCAGTGGTTGAGGCAGATTACATGCTAGGCCCTGCACTGACAGCTAAAGATCCCGAGAGGATCGACGTCCTGTTGCTGTCCTTGAGAACTGACAGTCTCCTGAGAAGCCACACTCACACTGGCCACTGCAATACACTGTGGTGGCTGCAGTGCTTGCACAGAGACCACAGGTACACACTGGCCCAGGAAGGCCTCCTGGAGAGCTAACTCTTGAGTAAAGAAAGGCATTTCAGGGGCTCATCAACCTGGATATAACAGCAGAATCATAAGGTGCTTCTGAGACGCTGGTGTCCAGGCTTCTTCCAAAAACCAAGGAATCAAAATTTCTGGAGATGTAACTTGGACATGTGCTTTTTGAAAAAATTCATGTAGGTAGATTCTGATGAACATAGAATCAGAACTGAAAAAGACTGAGTCAGCCAGCCAGTGGGAGAAAGGTGGGAAAGGGTTTTCTAGGAGAGGAAAGAACAGCTATGGCAAATGCAAGGAGCCATGGCACAGCAAGGTAACTGTGGGGTGGACCTGGAGGAGAAATCGGAGCCAAGTGAGAGAGAGCTGACGCAGGCAAGGCTGGCAGGTAAAGTCCAGACTTTGCTATGGGTGATGAGGAATCTCAAAAATGGGATTGTGTCAAATAGGGGCAGTGGAGAGGTAATTTCTTTTTTGGAGACAGGGTCTCGCTCAGTTGCCTGGGCTAAAGTGCATAGCTCATTATAGCTGACTATAACTTCAAACTCCTGGACTCAAGCAATCCTCCTGCCTCAGCCTCCCAAGTAGCTGGGAATACCCAGCTAATTTTTCTATTTTTTGTAGAGACAGGGTCTCACCATGTTGCTCAGACTGGTCTCAAACTCCTAGCCTCAAGTGATCCTCCCGCCTCGCCTCCCAAAGTGCTGGTATTACAGTCAGCCATCGCACCTGGCCAAGGTAATTTTTTTTATTTTTGGAAAGATCATTTTGGTGGAAGGATTTAAATGGGGCAAGACATTAAGTTGGAAAGCCCACAGATGGTTGTTGATGGTATAAAGTACTATTTTACAAAGAGGAAATATCTATTTTTATTTTTTAGTAGAAATTCAGAAAACCCACATTAAGCACCCAATTGAGCCCGAGACAGTTATCAAACTCTTTTGCAAACAATGCCTTGTGTCAGATATAGTAGTAAAGAGGCAAAAGATTTGGCACTGAGCTGCCTGGGTTCAAATTATGGCTCCAGCACTTCCTAGCTAAGTGACCTTGTATAAGTTATTAAATCTCTCCGAGCCTCGGTTTCCTCACCCATAAAATGGAGAGAAAAGTACTCCCCTCACAGGGTTGTTACGAGAACTAGAATGAACAATATATAATCTAATTACAGTGGCTGGTACATAATAAAGACACCAGAAATGCTAGCTGCTGTTGTTATCTACAATAGCAACATCATTATAAGGTAAGATAAACTTGCTCTTCAGTTACAGGGAAAGGGCTCAAGAAAATTCTTGGAATTCATCTGGATTTATTTTCCATGCAAAATGTTCCAGATATCTATCTACTCACTGTCCTCAAAGCTCTCCATTTTACAAGATGCTAACCTATCCTTAACAAATTTTTTAATCTCCCCCAAAAAAGCAAAGTTTAATTTGAAATCATCAGAAACGATGAAAAAAATCTATAATTAGAGCTCTCTGTAAACCTGAGAAAAGGACTGCTGAATTGCCGGTGCAATGTCAGGGACCAACTTAAATATCCCAAATCTCAAATTCTGGTTTTGAGAATCCAGGATGTTTTCTATTGTCTCAGCATAGCCATCTTTCACAATCACTTTAAACTTAAATCTTCATAAGTAAAAGGTTTATTGGTTTAAATCAAACATACACATTGGCATTCTTCCTTTTAACTTCCCTATTCACTCTGGATTCTAAAGAGAAAAACCACAGTTGTGGGAATGAGCTACCAAAGAGGGCCACCTAGTGTAAATTAAGTAGACTGTGATTTATTATTTTGAGGGCTTTAATATAAGAACATGGGGTGAAAGCAGAATATACTATTAAAAGTGACAGTGATGTGCCACACAGGTCTATTATACCAAGAGTGGCAGCCAGATGGTCCCCATTTCCCATGATAACTAAAGAAAAGGTACACAAATGCTAGCAGGCAGAATACAGGTCAGATACAAAGAGCCAAATTATGTCAGTGACAGAGAAATCCTCAAACAGGCGGCTGTGGAAACCTATCTTCTCAAAAAGATCTTTTAGATAAAACACCAGTTTGTCTGAATGATTTATGCTCAGTGCTGTCTGAAGGCAGCAGGGCAGGATTAGATCACTGTTCTCGAGCTTTTTATTGGTAATCCTTGTTCTCTTTCTCTTCATCCCAAATCACTCCTCTAAAAACAAACTTCTACTGGCTAGTGTGTGCCACCATTGGCTACAGTGCCTTGCACACAGTAGGCATGGGGATTAGCAACTATTTTTAGCATACAATAAAAGCTAAGAGAGAAGCACAGAGGAAAAACTCCTGTGGCTTAAAATTTGCAAGAGTCACAACACAGGCATTCTGACCTGAGTACATGCTTTCTTTGAGATGTCCCCACTACTTACCCTGACCCTACTGCATAGGCTCATTCTAAAAAACAAAAACTTCAGTGTATCGAATAGAATCTCTTCCTTCTGCATCCCAATTCAAACTCAGTTATCCTAGAACAATTCTTTTTTTTTAACTCTCATCTTCTATGTGATGGTGTTTTATTGTTTGTTTGTTTTATCCTAGAACAATTCTATAAGCCTAATATTCCTTCCCAAGTAGGTCTTTTTGAATATCCAATTTATA